CTCCACTATTGGCACTATGATGACAAGCACCACCACCATTACCACTACCACAGTTAACACGATCACCGCCACTACCACCACCAGCATTACAACAGCTCTCCAACCACCAACAAAACCACCACTATGACTGCCACCACCACCAACGCCTCCACCTCTACCACCACCACTATGACCACAAGCACTGCAACCACCTCTACCACAACTATCTCCCTGTAAAGTGAAGCCTTTTCCTTGTCAGCTGCTTTGGTTTTTCCCCACCAGTCACCTGGGCTCTGCCAAGTTGTAGTCCCCAAATAACACACAAGACGCTGTATTAATTATGAAGCTGTTGGCCTCACTTGTTTCTTACTGGCTAGCTCTGACTTAAGCATTTAACCCATCTAAGTATTTCTCTTACCAGACAAACATCTTACTTCTCTGGCAGCCTACATGATGACTCCCTGTGTTTCTCCTACCCAGAGTCTTCCTGGACACCTAGTCCCACCTATCTTACTTCCCTATTGGCCAACAGTGCTTTATTGACATATACACAGGACTTCCCCAACATCTCTTTTATGTCTAAACAATAAGAAAGGTCTTAACTTTAACAAAGTCAAATTATATGTAACAGAACAGTTATCAAATAAGAACACAGTTACAATATTTTGTCTATCAACATTTAGCAATATTTAAAGAAAATATCATCCATCCTATCCTTGTGAGTCCAAAGTTCTATATGTAGCTTATCTTTTGTCATAACTAAGGAAAAGTATAATTATAACTATCTGCCTTCAACTCTATCAAAGACTACAGAAGGATAATATATAAACACTAGGATTGACAGAGACATCTTGCTGCCTGGACAGTCACCTGAAGTTCCTCTGTAATGTTGGGGCATCCATCTTCAGCCCATAGGCCACAGTGTGTCCAGAAGACTTCTCAGAAAAGTAGGAAATTTCAAACTGTCCATCTGCATCAGTAGTCTGTCAGTCATTTTTCTGTGTCCTGTAGAAAGTCTCGTAGACTCTTCCATGAAGCAGGAACCCTGAAGGACTGTTTGAGTTCAGTAGTCACTTTCCTGTGGGTCCTGCATGTCTAGTTTATACAGCAACAGTCAAGCAGTCCAGGCAAGAGCAGTTTCTTGCCCAAATGGCTAATCTTGCCATGTTGAAAGCAAACTCCATAACAAGTGTCTTCGATGCTCATCTTCCTCTCAGACATAATTGGTGATGCCAGGAGCACACATTTCTCATTGTCAAGAAAAACCCTAAACCATTTTAAATGCCATTTTCTGAAAGTCTTTGAAAGGTTTGAAGACTGTCTATCTATCTCAAATCCATCTCTGTATATCTAGAAAACCTAACTAACCTAACTATAAGTTCTGACTATTATAAGTAACTATCTATAATCTGTATTTAATTATGCATATTTTAAGAGATCAGTATGACAATACTTAATCAAGAGGAGAAATATACACATCACAAAATTGACCTTGAATTTGTATCAATAAATGAAAAATCATACCAATACAAACTACTCATTTCCAGACTATAGTCCCCTTTTTCCTTTAAAAAGAGATTGGTTGTGATCATTAACCAATTATAAGCAACTTCATTCAAATGAAAACAAAGATTTATAAACAATATGGGGATTTGGACCTCGCTCATTCCAAACTGCTTCTTGTTGGAAGGGGGCGCTGTTCATACCATGGGGATCATGACAAAACTCAGAAACCTGAATAAGTCCTTATTTTCGGAGTCTGTAAGACAGCATCATCTTAGCTGTTTCAATTGTTGGAAAACCTGGTCCACTGCTTCCGGGGGTCTTGGTTGATCAAACCACAGAAGCCTGGAAGGAATTCTCAGCTCTTCATTTTCTGTGAAAACATAAACAAAAACTCTTTTCCAAAGTAACATAGCCTTATACTTAAATTTTGAAGTCAAGGCATTTTTAAAAGATATAAGTTGAATTAATTTAGCAGCATTTATAATCAAGTGTACTTTAGTAGTTGTTCCTTCCTGAGCAATCAAAAAACTGAAAAACACAATAGCGTACAGTATCCAGACTCTCTGTGTATTTTCCATCTTTACGTGGCTTATTCATTTATCTATTATTATTACTCTATTTCTTTTACTTTTCTTTATCTATTTATTTCTCTGAGACAGGGTTTCTCTGGAAATCTGCCTGCCTCTGCCTCTGGAGAAAATCCTACCAGCATGCACCACCACAGCCAGCTTCTCTATTTATTTACCACCATGTCATTTCTTTTTCTCTCTCAATCTTACGTACGGTTTTTAAACACACTGTAAACCTTTAGAGGTTTTTCTTCATGCAAGTCTGACTTTACTGTAAATCATTATGTTTTTCTGGCCACGTGTCTTATCTGTTAAAACTGAGGCTGTTTAAACTGCAGTTTTTCCAAGATGGCGGGCTTAAGCCTGACCCCAGCTCACCATGTCAGTCTATGCTGACATCCAGCAAAAGCTGTCGGCTTGGAGATGTGGTAACTGCCACTTCCAGCTGTACGTACACACCTTTCAATCATTAGCAGAGCCTCTTAAAAGAACCTTGCTTTTTTTTTTTCTTATGTTGAGTCGGGAAGACTCCCTTAAGTGAGCTGAGTGAGTCTCTGCTTGTCGCTAGCAAAACAGAGCCCACCTGAGAAAAATACTGCTACCAAGAACCCATGCTTTTCTCCGTTCTTTTGTTTCTAAGATTCCTTTAAAGCTTTTGTCGTTCTATGTGGAAATTCAATCTCACATGCTGATACCATTATGTTGAGTGAAGTGTTTTCCTTAACAGGCGCTTCGGTTTTTCTCCACCTGTCTCCTGGGCTCTGCCATGTTGTAGTCCCCAAATAACACCAAAGATGCTGTATTAATTATGAAGCTGTTGGTCTTGCTTGTTTCTTACTGGCTAGCTCTGACTTAAGCATTTAACCCATCTAAGTATTTCTCTTACCGGATGGACATCTTACTTCTCTAGCGGGCTACATGATGACTCCCTGTGTTTCTCCTACGCAGAGTCCTCCTGGACTCCTAGTCCCACCTATCTTGCTTCCCTATTGGCCAACAGTGCCTTATTGACATATACACAGGACTTCCCCAACATCTACCACTACCAACAGCACGACCACTATGACTACTAGGAACGCCAATACCACCATCAAGATTACAACCAACACAGAAACACATACACACACACACACACACACACACACATACACACACACACACACACACACCTATGGAGAGAGAAAGGAAGGGAGTATTTACAAACACAGAGACGTGACCGACCACTAAGTAAATTTCCTATAGGGGGCCTTGTGGATCCTAGCTTCTACCTAGGAGCTGAGTGAGATCCAATGGTGATCCAAATGACAGCACTTCACAGACACAGTTACCTCTGGGCTGACACATGCAGACCCTGTGTCTTGGGTCAAGACCGTGGAAGTCCTTCCTCTGTTCCTTACTTTGCTCTTTGGGGCCCACATACCAGTACTCTTTGGGGTGCTTCCTTCTGTTATGTCCATGCTCATCTAACTCAGATGAATGTTTGAGAAATAAGGGGTGACCACCCACATTACTAGATTCCCCATGGACTCATGTCCTGCTGAGATGGGAGCTCATGTATCACGGAGCTGAGCTCATCACGTAGCAAAACAGGATCCAAGGGCTTTGGTCCCATGTTGGCTGGTGACTTCATTAAGATGGAGGTGGCCGTGTGACTTGGCCATTATCTTGGTTAGTGACATCATCCAAATGGGACACCAGTAAATTTGTTTGCTGAGTAGGTGTTGAAGGTCTTCTGCTTTTCACCTTTAAAAATCCTGTCTCACCCCCTTCTCATGGCAATCTGTAGTCTGGCTCAGAGATTGCTGTCCTGCTAGCAGCTAATGAGTACATATTTTAATTATAACTAGACTGAGTCTGTGGTCTTTTCCCAGGGCCACACACTCCAGGACAGTGTGGGACACACAGCAGACAAACAGAAAAGTCAGATCCCCACCAGAATCTATCCTAGCAAGAGGAGGACCTGTGGAAGGGTAACTCAAAAGGGAGACTATCTTCAGCCCCGACTCTTGGGGTTCTCCCCACCAGCATGGCCTGAGGAAGATCCTGTGGGCCTCGGGCAGGGTCTGGCTGAGGAGACCCCGGTATTTTATTAGAGAGATAGTTGGTGGGAAGGAAGGCCTGGCTCCAGAATTCTGTTCCATACACAACTCCAGGTGACCATGGAGAGCTTGTCTCCAGGGCTAGGATTTGACTCCCTGTCAGAGCTGACAGGGAACAAGGCTTTCCTGACTGTCCAAGTCCCTTAGAGTGTGGAACCAGGGTATACTGCCGTGACAGCTGTAGTTTGGAGGTCACCTGAGCAACTGCTTCCCCTGAGTCTCAGTGCACAGGGGCCAGGACATAAGCAAACTCTTCTAGTGGGCTTAGGAGACTTCACAGGAATGCCAGGTCCCCACAGGGAAGGACAGAAGACCCTGCAGTTCTCCAGGCAGCTCCTTGTCCTCAGGGTCCAGCCTAGGGAGTTCTCTCCTGCATGTAATAGTAACAGATGCTGCTCATGTGAGCAGCTCCCCACCTGCCTGTCCAGGCACACCCAGTCCTTCTAGGAACCTCAGCCAGCACCATGCTCAGGGCCTGGGTGCAAATCATTCCTGAAGAGATGGATTGAAAGAAACACTGGGGACTCCAGATGCTGAGCACTGACAACCTCCCAGGACGCTGCAGGTCTGCTGTGTGCATGTTGGGCACCAGGACAGAGCCATCAGAGGTCCCTACTTTTGCCTAAATTATCTGTAAGGAAGCCATTGAGGAAACATCACAGGATCCAGCTGGTTAGGGCGGAGCTGGCAGTGTGGATTGAGAGCATCCTGGGAAGTCCAGGATCAGGGAGTCAGCTCCACAGTCCACGGATGGTTCTCCTTCCTTCCTGGTCTAGACATCCATGAAGGCTATCCCACACACACATTCCTCCCATGGCTATTTATTCTCAAAAAAATATTCAGTTCCTCCAGTCCCACAAGGCTTCCAGTTTATATACCCAATACCGATACATTTAGCAACTTTCTGACAGTGGCAAGGATACAGGGCAAGTGTATCTCAGGGTCAAGAAAACCAGGTAAGATCTGACAGAGCAGGTGCTTCAGGTCTCAGAGGAGATGTGTGAGCAAACTTAGGAGGTGGCAGGGGCTAGGATCGCTAAAGAAGGGAGGAAGGGTGTTAGTCCGTAAAACTAAAGTTTTGTGGGTAGTTAAACTAGGAGTTTGTAATTGATAAATATAGAGAACAAGGAGGGGAGGAGACAGTGTAGCTCTGGGCTTCTGTGTCCTGGCTTTTCTTCTTCTTGTTGTTTTCTGCAGCTGGGAATGCGGCAGCATTGCAGTAACCATGGCAAACTGTATAGGCTGTGGAAGGAAAAGCAGATGACATGTGGGCCAGATGTTAACTGATCAAAGGGGACATCAGGGCACTAAATCAAAGGGGGAAAACTCAGGCTGTGCAGTGTGAGATGCTACATCTCTTACTGCTGATGTCTGGGAGAGAAGGAGTCCTTTCTCTGGGGACAGTTTGCGAACACAAGGCACCCAGTATTCATGGGGAAGTCCTGTGTATATGTCAATAAAGCACTGTAGGCCAATAGGGAAGCAAGATAGGTGGGACTAGGAGTCCAGGAGGATTCTGGGAAGGAGAAACACAGGGAGTCAAGATGTAGCTGCCATAGGGGTAAGAAGTCCGGACCTTTTCTCCGGTAAGAGAAATACTTACATTAACAATTATGGAGTAAATACTTAAGTCAGAGCTAGCCAGTAAGAAACCAAGCAAACGGCCAACAGCTTCATAATTAATACAGTACCTTGTGTATCATTTGGGGACTGCAACTGTGGCAGAGCCCAAGCGGCTGGCGTGGAAAAACCAAAATGGCAGGCAAGGAAAAGGCTTCAATCAACATATGGTGTCAGAAGTGTGATTGAATTTCCACATAGAATGGCAAAAGCTTTAAAGGAATTTTAGAAACAAAAAACAGAGAGAAGCATAGCTTCTTGGTAGCAGCATTTTCTCAGGTGGGCTCTGTTTTACTATCGACAAGCAGAGACTCACATGGCTCACTTAAGGGAGTCTTCCTGATTCAGCATTAAAAAGCAAGGTTTTTTTTAAAGAGGCTCTGATAACAATTGAAAGGTGTGTATGTACAGCTGAAAGTGGCAGTGACCACATCTCCAAGCCGGCAGCTTCTGCTGGATGTCATCATAGACTGAGGCGGTGAGCTCAAGTCTTGGAAAAACTGAAGTTTAAACAGCCATGGGTTTTAGCAGATAAGATACGTGGCCAGAAAAACATAAAGATTTACAGTAAAGTCAGATTCAGATGAAGAAAAACCTATAAAGGTTTACAGTATGTTTAAAAATATACATAGGATTGAGAGAGAAAAAGAAACGGCATAGTGGTAAATAAACAGAGAAGCCGGCTGTGGTGGCGCACGCCGGTAGGATTTGCTCCAGAGGCAGAGGCAGGCAGATTTCCAGACAAACCCTGTCTCAGAGAAATGAATAAATAAATAAAAGTAAAAGAAATGGAGTAATAATAAAACATAAATAAATAAGCCACATAAAGATGGAAAATACACAGAGTCTGGATATTGTATGCTATTGTGTTTTTCAGTTTTTGATTGTTAAAGGAACAACTGCTAAAGTACACTTGATTATAAATTAATTCAATTCATATCTTTTGAAAATGCCTTGACTTCAAAATGTAAGTATAAGGATATGTTACTTTGGAAAAGATATTTTATTTGTGTTTCCATAGAAAATAGAAAGCTGTGGATTCCTTCTAGGCTTCTGTGGTTTGATGAACCAAGACCCCCGGAGGCAGAGGGCCAGGTGTTCCAACAATTAAGACAGCTAAGCTGATGTAGACCACGAAACCAAAGCAGCTGGCAAGGAAAAGGCTTCACTCAACACAGTATAAATTCTATATATCAAGATTATACACCAAATGAAATCATCCTCCTGACTTCCTATAGATTTATGTACCAGTAGATGGAATATTTTGACAAGATAAACACACACACACACACACACACACACACACACACAAGAATACATGAAACAATAACATTACCACATATGCAAACATGCAACATAGTAGGGAAACATTTTTAGAAGAGGGGTTCTGCAGGAGTAACAGGACTGTATATGACCAAAATACATTTATATGTGTGTGCACACCTGTACTGGTATGGAATTTTCAAATAATGAATTTTAAATACTTTGTAAAATAAGTGGTTCCAACTCTCTTCCCAATTTGAAGAAAAGAAATTGTACTTAGAACACAAAATTGCCTTCCCTGGCCCTCCTTTTAAAACCATGAAAAGGAAAGAAAACAGAATAGAGAACTTGTCTACCTTCCAATAGCTTTCTGAGAAGCAAAAGGACACAACGGTATTTTAAAAGATTTAAAGGACATAATTTTTTTAAGATCTTCAAATATGAGAAATTAATTTTCTTTTAAATTCTCATGGTTTAGTCAAATTTATTGGATAATTTTACATCGACTTGACACAGGGTAGAGACATGTGAGGTCACCAACTGAGAAAAAGCCTCCATAAGATGGGGCCATAGGCAAGCCTGAAATACATTTTCTTAATAAGTGATAAACGGGGAAGGCCAACCCCATTGTGGGTGGAACCACCCCTGGGCTCGAGAGTCCTAGGTTCTATAAGAAAGCAGGTGGAGCATGTCACGAGGAGCAGGCCAGTCAGCAGCCCTCTCCATGGCCTCTGCATCAGCTCCTGCCCCGAGGTTCCTGCCCTGTTTGAGTTCCTGCTCTGACTTCTTCAGTGATGAACAATGATATGGAAGTGTAAGCTAAATACACCCTTTCCTCCCCCAAATCATGAGTTTCATCACAGCGATAGTCAATCTAACATAGTAAGTTTAATTAAAACTATATACCGAAAAGACAATCTACAGAACAGTAAAAGGTGTAAGTCATATATATGATATGGATTTTGTGGTAACAATAAATAATGGGTACATCTCAGGAAAGAGTGATACCTATTTATCAGGGAAATACAAATTAAAACTACTGTGAGAACCAAGTTACAATGAATATAATCGAATTAACTGACAACAAATCTTGCAGAGGATGTGGAGAAAAGGGACATTTATTCACTGCTGCTGGGCAGGCAAATTAATCCAGTTGCTGTATAAAGCGAGAGAGTCCCTCAAAACATTAGAAATACCAAATGACTCAGTTATTTCACTGGGCATACACCCAGAGATCTTCTACCCTACCATAGAGATGTTTGCACCCCCGTGATTACTGCTCCTCTATTCAATATAGCAAGGAAATGCGTGGGGACCTATATATGGAAATTCATTCAGTCCTGCCACAAGTTCAGAGAGCTCAACTCACTCCCATTGTCCATAAGACATTAGCTTTATGGCTAGTCTGCAGGATGCCTTGGTGGTGGATGGCTCCTATCAGAAAAACAATAGACTTGGGCCCAGACAAGTTTACACTCATCCTGAAGGCTGGGTGACACTTGCAGCCATGAAGTGCCTTGGGGCCAAGTAGTACATGCAGCTATGGAGTGTCTTTATTATTAAGGGAAGTAATTGCCATTTGCTCCTTCTTCATGATAATAGAAGTCTTCGGCCATTGTCCTCACCTTTGGTTGGCTGCTCAAGATGATGAATGAATAAACAGGGGTGCATTCAGTAGGGACTGAGGCTGCCCTCTTGAAGCTATCCTAAGCTTCTGTCTTTCATTTAACGTGTATAAATACCCTTTCCTTCATCCACACATCCCCAATCAGGAGCACACTGGGGCTGATTGACTGGTCCCGACGGCAGCCACACAAACACCAGTCCACAACGTACGGTCCCACAATGTGGGGCTAATACAGATGGCCGCAACAGAGAGGGAACCGACCTAAATGTCCATCAACAGATGAATGGATGACGCAAGTCTAGCGCATATACCAAATGAAATGCTATTCATCGCTAGAGAAAAATGAAATCACACATTTTACACCAAAGAGGATAGACTTAGAACGCATGATGTTAAATGAGATCACCCAGCCTACGGGGGGGATAAAACACATGTTCTTTCTTGTTCGTGGATCCTAGCCTGGTATGTATGTATAGATGTAATTAAATATTGGAGGTATGGTACAACTATAAGCAAGGAGAACATGAAAGGGTGATTTTAAAGAGACAAAATACTCCCTGATGAGTTCACATACATGCTGTCCTTTGTGTGGGTCCCCTGAATGCTCTACGTGTAAAATGGTTTTGATGTAAAATGGGTCCTTAGCCAGCAGTTTCCACATGTGACTCTATGCTGGCACCTCTCTGAGTGGCCCAAATGTGCAGGCATGGTGTTCATTGTTTTAATATCCCTGTGTATTGCAGTGCTTGTAAGTACTCCTAACTTGGGGTGCACAATTCTTTGAACAAGAATTCCACCTGTAAAAATTATACAGTGAAGACTGTCAGAGTATGATTAAATCATCATAATTGGGGAGTTTTTGAAAATTCCTGGGCATGCTGGCTTGCTGACTCTGAATCTCAAAGATGAACACACCATGGTGGAATTCAACACTGAGAAGCTAGTAGTGTTTGGTTTGGTTTGCATTTTATAATTCTAAAACACATTATTATAAGTGAATGCATGTACTTTGCTTTAAAATGTGAATGTCAGAATAAAATTATTTTAGTGTGAGTAACAGACTTGGATATTCCTTCCCCTGAACAACATGTACTAAAATCTAATAAAACATGGGAAAAGAGGTCAACATCACCAGTCTCTGTGGAACTGCAGATCAAGTGGCAGTTGTTATAAAACCTCAGCTGTTACAGTCTCACCTCAGCACAGATCTACTAGATCCTCAAGGGCAGCTGCACACTGGGACCTTTCCTGGGAAACTTGATGCTCAGCTCCTGACAGCATTTGGAGCTTGGCTGCCATCCTTGTGCAGCCCAGACGTGAGCTGCAGGTCTCCTCATGAACACCAGGGGGCGGCAATATACCACATGTCAACAGGGAAAACTCTCCCTGAGATCAGAAGCTATCTTGTAAACTTGTCTCCATCCCAATTCCAACAGAGCTGGAGCTCCCTCACACAATCACTTCCTGTGTCTCTGAGAAGCTCATTCTGCAAGAGGACCCCATGTAGTTCTCTCCCTCATCACCTCATCCGTGAGGAAATAGGGGAGATCACGGGGCAATCAGCAAAGAGAACAAAGGTGTGCAGAAAGGTCAGGGAGGGCATGGGCAGACCTGAATCACATTCAGTCATCTCAGGAGGCTGGGGGATGAGGGTGTCTCCCCGTGCCCTCCAGAGGAAGCTGGAGCACACAGTCCTCTTTCTAGGACACACAGGTCACCTCCTCCTGCCCAC